GGCAGTTCTGAAGGCAAAAGGGGGTCCAACCCGTTACTAGCATGGGGTACCTAATAAAGTGGCCGGTGAGTGTATATGTGTTAGCATGGCCAAGTTACAGGCCTGGTGTGAATTCTATTGAGAATCAATGGCCAGACTTAAGAAATAGATGTCCAAAGATGTGTTCCATTGAATTTTACTGCAGTTTATTTTATTTAAAAAAAAAGGAAAAATAGGTTAACATTTTTGTATTTATATCTTCAAAGTTGAAAGGAGTATAACTCAAAAATTTTATAGTTGTAATTTCAGTACAACTGTTTCTTTGGTTGGCTGAATACAGACTTGAGCATTTCTTTTCTTATTTTCAATTCAGAAAAATATACAGAAAAACATGGATTATTTTCCTACCTTCTCTCTTTTCCATAGTGCAATACTTTGTGTTTGTCTGTCACATAAAATATTATTGAAATAAAGTATCGCTTCTGCAGGAACATGCGAAAATATGAAAAAAGAAAGACCCCTAAAGCTGTGTGACTATCCTCTTCTATGTCACATTTGATTCCAAACTTCTCCGACTGCACACAGATGTATTAGTGGTACATGTTGCTTGCTGACAACTAATGCTGCAGACATGAATTTATTGCATCTATCTTTAAAAACATTCCACAGAATATTTTTACTTTTAACACATTCCTAAGGTGTATTAACATGCGCACACATGACCAAATACAAACAAAGTCACACATGGACCACCAAGACATTCCATCCACTAAAACTCAGACACCTGGCTAAACAAAAAGCCTTGCATTTCATCCCCACATATGTAGATGTATTTGTATGTGTGGTAATGTTGAAAAGCAACTAAAGTTATATTTAAGCCTTGAATATAAGACTGCCCATTGTGTCTAGCTTTGTCTCTTAAGATGAGGACTAAATGTGTTTTCTTAACTTTCCTAATATATTAAATTTTAGTAATTTGTTTTTGTTGAGACTAAAAGTGAAATGGTGTTCGGTAAGGCCAAGATTTTTATCATGATTTAAATAAATGTATTTTTTCACCTCAGCAGCAAATTTCAGCACCTTTTTTTTGCCTCTTAAGGCTTACTTCTAACTAAGTAAGAGATGTTTGTGTGTGTTTTAAGCAGCAGATAAATTGGAGGGAAAATATCAGATGTGAGTAAGGTTTCAGCTGAGCCTTGCCATATTAAATCAGAAGACATTTGTAAATACAGAGCAAAAAAACAAACTCTGATTTCACCACTTACTGTTACTTTATGTTTTTATTTTGCTGTTACATGTTTGTGTTTTACATAATTAATCAAGTTATATATCAAACAATAAACCTGAGAATTAAAAAGTTTTTAGAATAATTTAATTTTGTGTGGGGAACTTTAAAAAAACAGCAACCTTGCCCTATGGAAAATGGTAATTATACCAAAAATACAAATGTGGCTTTGTTTGTGTTGTCTTTTGTTCAGCTTCACAAACTACATTTAGGTCTAATAACTACCTGACGTGAAGAATCAAAGCAATACCCTTATATAAAGAAAATAAAAACGAAGGGAAAAAATCATTAGCATTTCTCTCGGATAGGAAACAAAGATAATTCTAAGGCCTTTCAATCCCAGAGAACAGTAAGAGAGATCAAGAGTGAGAGTACTTGGAGTAAAAATACAAGTGATAAACCTTCACTGCAGTCTACTCAAATTATTCCAAGAATGCATTGACATCCAAGGATCCCAAAATAATTTAAATGAACATATAAAGCACTGTAGGCTTCAATTGCTTTAGTTATTGACGCTGCTATTTTTTCAAACGTAAAAAAAAAAAGATGGAGCAAGAACAGTGTCTACAGCTGAGCAAAAGGACCAAAGGCCTGTGCTATATCTACCAAAGGAACATCTGGATGAACCAACATGACTGAGGAAAACAAACTGAGAGCTGACAAAGACAGTAAAGGCTTTAAAGCTAATTCAGGAGCTGTGACATGACTGGGGCTGAAACAATTAATCAGATTAATCGTGGAGTACAGAGACTGTAAAATATGCTTTAAGCTGAGAGAGCAACCAAATTAGAGCAGTGATTACATCAAAATTGTAAAAAAATATATTAACATTTTTGCATTTAAGGTAAAAAAAAAGAAAAAGAAAAATTTTGGTCTGTCAATATGCTCTATCAAGAACTCCTCAAGTGGAAAAGTTTTAGTGTCCCCTGGTTTATTTTTAAAAAATTCTCACTTATGGAACCTGTGGCTATCTGATTATTAATCAGTTACCGTAATCAAAAAAATTATTGACAGATTAAATGATTTGCGAAATATTTGTTTGTTGCAGCCCAAGACATCTCCTTTAATTGGATTTTTATGTGAATGAATTTCAAATAATTTTGTAAAGAAGAGTTGAGTAGAAATCCTCCATTGAGATTATCTAATTTGAAATAGATAACCTATTTCAAATTAATATTTGGAATCTACATTCTGAATTTACTAAGGTAAAGTACTCCCTACAGGTCCTCTAAATAAATATTTTCTTTCTGAGAAAACAGAGCCTCTGCATGTGTTACTGAGAAAGGTGCCAGTGGCCAATGTGATCTTTTTAACTGGCCTTCCACAGAGGAAAAACACGAGTAAGACTGCAGTGACCTATTTCATAACATATGTAAAACCTCAGCCATGGAAAGTAAGGCTATTCCCCCCTTGCAAATTGGCTATAACAACATTTGGCTTCATAACTGTAAAGCAGTTTCACATTAGGGCTGGAACTGAGAGCCAAAGGTTTTGTGTGTGCTTGTTTGAACAAATGAAATAATGTTTTTGTTCATTCCAAATCAGTTTAATTAAATTCAAAAGGCCAAATTACTTGTGAAATAAAAGGAAAGTGTGCTGAATTTCTCTTACAACATTAATGCTATTTCAGGATTTTATATTGTTTTTGGATTTGGATACAAAGTCCATGACTTACTTTTTGTCAAAACCACATAGGCGCACCCTACTGGAAATACCTCCATCAAATTTGTCACAATAACTTATGCACCATTTAACAAATGTCATGTAGCCTTGGCAGTAGAAACAAAATATCCTATTAGTGGATAAAAGGAATACATTGTTCACAATTCCATTCAGTATCCGGGCAACACAGTTATTACACACTAATATCAGGTCTATAAATCAAAATTTTGATGGGGTGCAATAATGGCAGCTGGTAATATTTGCAACTGCTACTTACAGGCTTTGTGGATGAGAGAAAAAGGGAAAAACATACATTTTTAGTTTACCTTGTCAACATACAAATGGTATTTACCTTGATTTGAGGAAGTTCCTTTGATCATTGTTTTGACGACAGCCTTTTCATGGGAGTTAAATTGTGTTTCCTCATCCTCCTCACTGTTCAGAAACACAGATGAGTTAGCACAAACTTTAAATCAATTAAAGATCACATTTAGGTTGTCATAATAGATCAAAATCTAAAATTCTTCCAAGCTGTCATATGAATTGTAGGATTCACATAATTTTTTTTTTTTTTTTACAAGGTACAGAAATGAACATAAAAGTTCTTCAGAAACCTCAAACTGTATAATCTCAGGAAAAGTGTAGTCAACACCAGTAAACCATTATGACATTTGAAGATGGAGCCAAACCATGTATTTAGATTAATCAAAATATTTATCTATCTAATGCAAAGGATTTTGATTATGCTGATGCATGTAAAATAAATTTATTACAACTGGGCCCTGAACAAGAGTCAGATCCCTACAGTAGAAGTAGGAAAAAAGTATACTGGACTGCAGAAACAAGCTTAATCCACTTTTTTTGTTAGCAAATCATAAAAAGTACAAAATAAATAAGAAAATCAGCCTTGCATTACAGTTTTTCAGTCATCATCAAACAAACTAACACTTAGAATTAGACTGATTGGGACAACAATCACTTAGATTTTCAGTTGCTCTAAATTAAACAAAAAATATTATGTTATCAATAATTGAACCTTGAAAATTTAACCAATCAACAAATTTGTAAAACGACCACATTGTCGCAGCACAGCTTTCTACAAAATGAATAACTGAGCAAATATGCAGACAGAATTGGTAAGGCAAATTTGTTTGTGTGTCTAAAAATATACAAGCAAATATAAAAATGTTTTCTTTAAAAAAAATATTATGTTGCATTGGCAACTGTTCATTTTACATGTCTTCTAATTTTTTTTTTTCAAAATATTTTCTTATAAGATGGAAAAAGAAACATGTAGTCTGATTGTGATGATTTTTTTTTTTTTTTTTAGAGAGAAACCAAATCAATCTCCAACAGTCACCATCAGTCTAACTGCTTGACTGTCAGGACAGTCACTAATCTAATCATTTATGCCTTGCCAACATAGCATAAACTTGTGAAACGTAAACTTCTGCTGAGACTTCGACTCAAACTCTGTGTTTTTGTTGGTTGTAGAGTATGCATTTTTTTTTTCTTTTGGTATAAAACATTTTAGGTAATTTTGATGGAAATAAGCTATACCTTTACATAAACAAACAAATGTCTACTATAAATTATGACCTATAATGCTTGGGGGTGGCTGGTCATTAAAAATACATTTTAATTTACTCTTTCTTTATTACCAAATTTAAACAATCTCGTGGATTATACTGGTAAACATTTTCAGATTATATTCCTTTTTTGATTACAAATACAATATCAATTCAAATGCTTGCTTTTTTTGTCCCTCTCCTTATATTTTATGCATGTGACTCACTGCAGTTTAACAATCAAAGTGACGGATCTCTCATAAGAACATATTTCTGTTGTACGACAAGGTTCATATTCAAAATGTTATCCTCCTTAATTTAATGGTTGTACAAACCCTCTTGCACTCTTCTGCCACTGAAATAAATTGACTGACAATAACAGACTGAGAGAAGGGTCAAATATACTGGATATACTTTAACAACATATGTCAAACTAAAGGTGAGAAGAGTTCAAACATAAAGCAGGGCAACATATGCTATTTATTTGTGTTAAAAGTAAGCCTTATATTACCAGACAACGTTTGAATTCCCCTAACACAATCCGAAATATGTGCATGTCTATCTACATGTGTATGTTTTCGAATGCCAGAACACTAGCTTGGGTGGGCTAACAGTCTCTGGCCAGACACATAGCAGCCATAACACATAGCTGTGGTCAATGCCAACAGTTGGATCACCAAAACCTTTTCCTCTCCTGTCTGATTATTAGCGAACTCATGGCAGACAAATGTTATGGCAACTGCAGTCATAGTTACGCTGAGTTGTGTCTGAATGTTTATGTGGGTGCGAGAGAAGTAGTAAATGAGAAAATACTGAAATTGATCGAGTCAAAGTGGCTGAGACTATACAAGCTAAATTAAGAGCTAAGTAGAGTAAAAGCTTTATATTTTATAGGTGTTTTTTTTAAAAACCCATCCAACTTATTCATGCATTTTTATTTTGTGCATTTTCACCCGCTGGGTATTCCTACAGACGGACATCAATACAGTGTAATTTGCTATAGGGCATACGAAAGCAGTTAGAATTCTTAAAAAGTTTTATATTTTTATTTTTTATTTTTATCTTGGTTCTTACAGCCCAAAAGCCATTTACCACAGCTTGTTTGATCCTCGCCATCAAGGTAAGGACAAATCAAGAGGAATACATTTTAGCTGTGTTGTGATGCATCAAAAATAATTCAGACATTTACAGTACTGCATATTAGACTGGTTGCAAGTTGATTTGTCAAGTATTATGTGCCAAGAAAGCACGTGATACTGCACTCTAACTTTGGATAATTTGGTTGTAGGAGTTTCTGCTCCTCAGTGAACATTCTCTTCATTAGACTGATGAACAAAAATAGTGTCTTCAGTCAAAAGCATCTCCAGTATACACAGACAGACAGACAGACAGACAGACAGATACTTATATGAACCACAATAGTATAAACTGCAACAGGATATCCTTCCTGCCTACAGCAGTCAGCATCTACATAAACCCATTTTTTATAGGAAGCCTCTAAACGAGTTATAAGAACATGTAATTTACCATTCAAGACCCTTTAATCTAATTTCTTAATCTTCACTAGTCTTTAACTATGACATCTGGAAATTAGTAGTTAACTGTTAGTAGTTAACCTTTATGCCACTGTAATGTACTTTTATTTTTTTTATGTGCAGCACTCCAAGTTGTCTTGCTACTGAAATGTGCTATATAAAGAAACTTGGCTTGCCTTGCCTTATTGCACTTTCTGCAATTTGAATGCGTGTTGAGAAATGTGAGAGATTCAAGAGCAAACATAGGAAAACAATTTAACTTATCTAAAAATATAGACACATTATGACTATAAAACAGGACATAACATTTTGTGTCAAACTAATGGAGATATGGCATTAAAGATGTTATGGAACAAATATTACATTGAGCATAATGAAAAAGACATAGATGTAATTAAATTAATATAATATTTCAGGCTTTATTGCAGTAGGAAAAAAAGTCAAAAATAATACCAAGTTTAAAAAAAATACCTATGTACCCATACTAATAAAGCATTTCAAAGGCATCTGATTAAAATACAATACTGTGCATAATGAAGTTACAGTGCAATGACATAAATTGTGAAAAATGCACCAAGATGACTGTTAGCATTGATTTCAGCTTATCGGTCTATAGGCTGTTCAGTTCTAATCTAAGTAGTTGGCCATAGGAAGGAGACAATCTGGCTGTCGAACATCTCTCTTCATTATCATTATGAGCTAATTGTTTTGTGTTTTATGTCTCTGGGAGCAGAAGCCACTGTATACGTGTCACACCAAATTCTACAACCGTTTATGCAGCAAAAACCAAAACAACTGGTTAAAGAGAGGACATGTGGAGAATAATTTTAACCCATGATTTATACCCACAAAAACTTAAAATGAATACAACAGCTACATTTACAGTCCACAGATAGAGGGAAAAAAATTCTCTGTTATTCTTTCATAACATCCTTCAGTCTGTTTTCCTGTGCCCTTTGACCTATTAGATGTGAAATACAGAGTGAGTGGGTGGGGGATCCATTACACTGTATGTGGGTCATGTGTTCTTCCAAGAGCTCAGAGAACTTTTATAGGAATCAAGGTATGACTTAAATATTAGTAAAATTTTAATAAAGTTCAGTAGAGTCAAACAGAAAGCTCAAAATGAAAAGAAAATCAATGAAAAAAAATCCTGATCATGAATTTCTTTGATATGAAGGGGCACAGATATGTTGCCAAATGATTAGGTTGCGAGACCTTTTTTAAATTTGTGTGATCAGCTACGTAAATAGAGCAAATATTTTAAAAAGTACCACATGCTCACAGGTAAAAGCACCGAAGGATGTGCAATACTGTGAGCCTATTTCAATTCACCCTTTACCTCCAAGCACCTGTGTCACTCAAGTCTTGTTGTTTGTAGCATCTTTAGTTAAAAGGCATACAATAGATGATTAGAGATGCTGTATTTTATAAAGATCTCTTTATCAAATAGAGGAAACAAAACACAAAAAGAAACAAAGAGATCTTCACTTAAATATGGGTTAATCAAAACTGCAAGAGACAGAATCAACAGAATAAAAAGCTTCTTATGCCAACCCAACCAACATAAGTCATAGCTCCATCTGATTGGAAATACTGTATTCAGTAAACATCAACTGATCAAGCAGAATAATTTTGGAATAAAACAACAAAACCCAATCATGTCATAATAGTAAATAACATTAAAGAACCTATCCATTCAGTTCTTCCAGCATTATAACAATCTGAAGTTCAATTACTCATAATGACCGTCTAATGACGGATGACAAATAGAGCAGGAAATTAGATGTTTCTCAGTTTATCATTCATTACAACTCATTACAGCACGGGACATTAATATTCTTCTCTAGACAGGAAAATTGGATGTGTTTTATAAACAGGGGAAATATTAATTTATTTTTATGTCTATGTTTATATGTGCATTTATCTATTTACTATTTGCATCAGTTTGCATTCAGTTAAAAATGACCATCTGGATTCACTTGGTCACATATGAATCCTGTCAGCATAGAACTAGAAAAGATGCAGATTTTTCACATTTTCTTTCCAGTGTTTTTTTTTTTTTTTAGCAGCCTACTGCATTTAAACTAGCATACAACTCAAGTTACACATTATAATGCTTGTCTTTAACAGGCATCTATTTGGACCCATTGGTCTTGCATTAAAGTTTATTTTCAATAAGCTGCCAAATCATGATATTTGTTGGAATTTTTAACGAGGAAAAAAGCAGATCTCATATTCCTGAGTGTTTACACATGTAAAATAACATGTGTATTGTAGCTCCAGGAATAACTTGTTTTTATGCATCTCATAAAATTGTGTGTTTCATTTC